AAATACATAGAAGCATAAGCTATCAATCATTATAGATCCCCATGCAGATGAAAAAAGTTGTTCGAGGGGTGCGGCGGGTACTCGAGAATAGGCCTTCGCCGAGGGACTATAGGTATTTTCATAAAAACTCATGTTTCAAGATTGCTCACACTTTTTCTCTGAAAACAAACATTCCCAGATGACCCAGTCAGTTGTTCGAGGGGTACTTCAAGGGCTAGAAAATATGCTTTCGATGGGTCCTCGCCGAGGGCTCAAGTCCTTGGAAAATGGTACTTCGAATCCCCAATATAAGCTTTCGAGGGGTATTTCCGAGCCCTCGTCGCACCCTCGAGAGAACGAGGGCTCGGAAGTCCCGAACATCTCTGTTCGACGGCTCGAAATTTTTCTCGAGGGCTCGCTACCTATCTGAAATGCGTGGGCTCGAAATCGATACCCCACGAAAGCTTTTATCGAGGGTCCGAAGTGCCATTTTCCGAGGGGCCGAGCCCTCGGCGAAGGCCTATTCTCGAGTACCCGCCGCACCCCTCGAACAACTTTTTTCATCTGCATGGGGATCTATAATGATTGATAGCTTATGCTTCTATGTATTTTCGAGATTAGGAGCCCTTGAGATTGAACGATTGGGGAATTTACTTAGAGTCGAAGTAACGCAAAAAGATACTGGAGTCGCGCTAATGTGTAATATAGGTGTCAGTGTATACTCAGCATATTATTGAACTATAGACTGGATATGGCTACTGTCAGAATCTAAAATTTATTAGATTCACCAATTACTGACAGGATTAAGCACTTGATCTTTTTTCCCAATGAATTGTGTTAAGCGTTTTCTATTTAATGTTCTACTATCAATCAAATTTTCATGCATGATGATAATGACAATAATATAGAACCGAAACCATTCAATCATCAACAACGGGCACAAAGTACACGTACAAATCGTTCAACGACAAGACGATCATGGATAAATAATGTTGATGGCAGAGTAAATTGCTTTGATTATCATGCATCAAAATTCTTTTCGTGTAAAGTATATTTAAGAGTTATTGGAAATTATATATAGTTAACCATTCGTTAATTTTCAGAATCAAGACTCGAAAAAGCCTTAAATGTAATACAAAATACTTTATTTCTAGAACAAGAATGCATAATTGATAGTCGAAATCAACTTATGAAACATTCTTGGTCAATGGTTAATTCGAAGAATGAATGTGTATTATATACACCGTACATCTATCCTTCTGTTTTTCCGTTTAGCATAGATCATTGGGATAATTGCTCGTTCAAATATGCTGTTATAGTTTTCCTTTGAAATTCTCATCTTTTACTGCTTGATTACAAAAGAACATTCGATCAATCGCTCTCTCTTTAACTTCGTGCTACTACTCTATCATACCGTAGTTTCCCGTATTTGGCTCTTCGTTATCATTTGATATTGGAATATAACCGATACATCGTGAAGTTCTCGTAATACTACTGGAAAATCAATTTTTTATCGTCCGGTATAATTTTATTTGTGGACGAATTATTTATACTCAATCGATAAACTTTGATGATATTAAATCAGTGGCATTAGATCCTTATATATATCTTGCAAAGTCAATAATGGGGTAGGCATATAGTCGAGGAGTTGCCCAATGCCGATCAGATGGTGTAATTCACGAATTAAACAATAAATTCTTTTCCTGAAATTGTTTAAGGATACACTCCCTTGACAGATCTTTTTATTTTGAGTTGAACTGAACCTAATTTAGAGAAAAGCCTGGGTTACAAAATAAGACCATTGCCAGTGTACCATGATCCTTTTTCCAAAAGTTACGAATTTCTTAAATTTTTACCAAAGAGTCTGAAAAACATCAACTTGTTTGTGGTTTTAATAATTTTTTTTATTTTCACAATGACATCGCTTTTGAAATTTTTCAACAATTTGTCGCGAAGATGTGAACATCGTCACAAATACTTTGTAAAAGTGAGCTGCTTAATGTTACCCGCAATGTTTTTAAAATACTGGTGGTTCCAATTCAGTCATGTTATGATCCCTCGAAAAAATGATCCGATCGAGCCTAAATTTTTACTACAGATATTTCAGAAGCGTCTGTGATAAAATTTCAATTGAATTCTGAAATTCAATCAAAAACCGACTATTTTTTGGTAGGATTTACAGCAGAAAAGCATATTTTTCGAAAAAAATTAGAATCTGGGATAGAGTAAAAAATATCTGTGATAGAAATTCGGGCTCGATCGGATCATTTATTCTAGGGATCGTAATGTGACTGGATGGAAACCAGAGTCTTCAGAAAACTCAGAGAATAACTTGTTAAAAAATTCGCGGCACAAAATACTTTGATTTGCTTCTTCGATGTTCTATGTTCGGTATAAATTTGGGATCAATTAGAAATTTGCTTCCACCTTTACCAACAGGATGAAAAATGAGGAAGCGGGGCACCCTAGTCCTATGAAACGTCGTCACCATTATTGAGATCTATACAAATCTTTAAAAATACTGTGATGCGTTTGAAATGTTACAGATCTTCATACATCTTTATCTTCACGTGGAATACTTAAGTATCCTCAATTCTCCACTTGATAAGCAATTAGGACGGGGCTATTCCGACAGCTACGTTTAATTTGTTAACTAAGGTATTAAGCCAGTGCTGCTACAGTCTGAATTTCGACTATTTTCTTTGCTTTTAGTACGTATACAATGGTTGTAGAATTGAATATGGAGAAGAGCCAACATTTGTTGAGAGATGGAATCCATTCCTACAACGTATAATTGCGATGATTTTATTGAATCACTTGAGATCGATAACAGCCTGTGTCTGACAGTATGACTTGAACTTTTATTGCTTTTTTACTTTCAGCTCTTAACGCCTGTCGTCATGATCATAATTTACCAAATTTAACATTCACCGAAAGAATAGAAATGGTGTCAGCTGGTAATTAAATGATAAGTTTTAAATTAGTTAGAATACTCAAATTCATCTCGTTGTTCTTACCAAAATTCAGTCCCCTTTAAGAGTCAAAAAAAGTTGTTGTTTTATTTGCTACTATTGCTATACAGTAGTAGATGAACTTTGTGTTTGTGATATGTTCTTATGATAATCTTAGTTGTGCGATACTTAATGTTCTGCAGTAGAGAATTTAAATAGAAATAGATTCATGCGATTTATTAAACAATGAATGTAAGAAACTAAGAACAATTTTTCAAAACAAAAATTATAGCAGAGAAAATAATTATTAAAGATTAGTTGTATCATCTGACAATAAAAAGAAGCGAAAAGTACAAAGAATTCTCGTCTAAGAATTCAAGTTCGAAGCATTTTGCATACTTTCTCCACTACTATTACTGTTTTTCGTGCTATCAGCCAATAAACTCAACCATAGCAAATTTCGATGTAATAATTTCATATAATCAAGCATTTTATCTGCACAACCGTCATTTTGAGCATCTTTTATTGCGTGTATTAAAGCAGCATTCTCTCGTAGCATCTAGAGGAGCAATAATAAAGGATTATAGGATCTTATAGTAGTTATTTGAGGCCACTTACATCTGACACTGTGTTTTCATCACCATTGCACTTTTCACCTGAGAGTGGATTGGGAAAGAAAATTCTTGACATTCTAAAATGAAAGATGAGCAAACAAAATATTATATTGTTCCGTATTGTTAAAAGAGAGATGAATAATATAATGAGTAGTAAACTTGAGGATTATCTTTCAAACTTTATGCGATTAACTTCTAATTTTTCTTACCCATCAGTAGAAACCCTCATGTTTTACGCAGGATATTTTCTGTTTTAAAACTACATATATTTTACCTGTTTAGTGAGGAACAGATAGATTATAAACTTGCATCATTATTATCCAGGAGTTCAGGATTTTCTATTCATACGAGAAGTTAAGATTAATAAAACTTTTGCACACTACTGCATGCCTTTGTGCCTCACCCTCATCCTCAAAATAACACTGAACGAGCTCAAATTCGATCTGATGCTTTTGAAGTCGCTTAACAGTCAAAAATTACATTAGGCGATTTCTCTTCAATATCGGAAAATTATGGTGGAAAACATTCTAGAAAGTGTCAGAAAATATCCTATTGCTACAGAACAAAAAATGAAGCAAAGTATAGCTTTCATGGTAGAAACTAAAGAATTACCGAACTCAGGATAGATTCGGACCTTAATTTTCGTTTTAGGACTGCTTAAGGACTTGAAGTTCTACTCTGACTAGCTTAAGTGCTATTTCAAAAACTAACACTTCATCCAGTAAAAGCTCATACTAAATTTTGCCTAAGTGAAAACAGCGGGAGTTTATGAAAACTATGTAATGTACTATGTAGATGTAAAATAATTCATGAAGTAATATTACAGCTCGTCACCTAAGAATCAGAAGATACTTTCATAGTTTTTAACCTTTATATTAAGGCCTCACCGCCCCCCCCTCAAAAAAGTCGATTTTCGTCCAAAAAGTGATTTTTGAGATAGGTATACGAGCATGTCGCCTGAGATGTCTACTTCACAAATATATAAAAATATTATTGAATCTCGACGATTTTTAAGGAGTTTTTTAGAAAATTCTGCAGCTCTCTGAGACACGAGACACGCGAATTAGCGTTTTTTGAATAACTCAAAGACGATAAAAGATAGAGATTTGCAGTCTTCAGTAATTGAAAGAAAATAGTTTTGGCTATGTTTTCTTAAGCAAAATCTTTTTCGAAA